ACAAAGTTTATTTTCCACGAACAGGATCAAGAAGTGCTAGAGGTTAGCGATAGACTTCAAGATATATGCAGTCTATAAACCACCCCAGAATAGTCCCAACCTTAATTTTCTGAACATCTCACACAAAACTGTAGTACTAGGCGACTTCAACGCCCATTCCACCAGATGGGGCTATAAGAATACAAACATAGCTGGAAAGGAAATCGAAGACATGCTAAACAGCAACCCTCTGGAACTTATTTACAGCAATGAGGATCCGGCTACATATTTGCACTTCAATGGAACCATAACAACTCTTTACTTGCTCCTGGCTTCAAGTGACATCAGCGAGCATACACGCCACAAAATAATTGACGATCCTGGTTCTGGCCACAAACCAGTCATTACTAGTATTACCATCGGCAGCAAAAGCATGACAAGGAAAGTACCAACTAAGCTATCATGGAACTTCAAGAAGGCTGACTGGCCTAGATTCACAAACCTTTTAGACAATGAACTTCACTCAAGTCCCTCGACTTCAACCAACGTCTTGACAAACTTTGCAATGATATCACGAATATTATGATCAGATGTGCAAAGAAAACTATTCCCCGAGGCAAGACTAAACATTATCGAGTGTTTTGGTCTGATCACCTTGAGGAACTGAAAAGAAAGAAGGACACCCTTCGCAACACTGCTGATCAGACCGGAAGAACGGAAGAAGTACAAGCCTGGAGACGACAATCAGCTGTCCCAAGGCAATCCATCTTGCAAGCTAAACGGACTTCCTTCGCCAAGTTCATCTCAAATATCAACTATCAAAGTGATANTGCTTACTCTATGCAGATGATCTTGTTCTATGGTATTCCGCCCCTAAGAAAAACGCTCAGGAGAGAACAGAAAGTGCCCTAAATTGTGCACTTAAACTACAAGCAAACTGGTGAGACAACAATGGAATGGTAATCAACACCGCGAAAACTGCATTCCAAACATTTTCTTTGGCCCGTCACAGCATAAACACTCCTCTAAGGGACATGGATACTTCCCTAGAAAAAACCAATGAGTTCACATATCTCGGAATGACGTTTGACACAAAGCTAACGTGGAAAAGTCACATTGGTAAAGTAGCAGAACGAGTCTCCAATAGACTGACTGTACTGAAGCGTCTTGCTGGTAGCGTATGGGACTGTGCACGCTCAACTCTCAACACCACTTACAAGATGTTTATTCAGCTAATAATGTTGTATTGCTGTGAGCCACTCATTACAGCCACTCAAACCACTCGAGAAAGCACACAACCAAGCATTACGAATAATTACTGGAGGGATAAAATCAACACCCATTGATGCACTGCTCCTAGTTACAGGAAGCACCACAATATGTTCCCTTATCAAAGAGAAGGCCTTGATCCTGTATAAGAAGCTACTGCGCATTCCCATTGATAAGTTCTTCAGCACCTATGCGAATAGACCAAGACATCTGAAAACGCAATCTGGTCTAATACAGGAAGCCATAGAACTGAAGAAAGTATTACGAATAAATGACAAACCAAAAAGCCCCTCTCTACCCATGAACCAATTAGCAGACACTGATGTAGTGTGTTGCACCCAACTGCTTGACATCTCCAAGAAATCAAACACCCCTCCAGAGCAAATGCGCTTACTGGCCCTTGAGACAATCAATGTCAACTATCCTGCAGATCAATGACTCCAAGTCTTCACTGATGGGCCATACATAGAAAACCAAGCAAAGGTTGGTGCAGCTGACTATTCTGAACTCTCCTCCTTCTACGCAGCAGCGGGACACAATAGATCCGCTTTTGAAGGAGAAATAGAGGCTATTAGGATAGTACTATGCCAATTATGTTGCCTGGATACGAAATTCACCAATGCGGTGATACTTTCGGACTCATAGTCAGCAATAAACTCAATTGGAAACAGAGAGACACCCAAAACAGCTGAGATAAAGGAATGTAGAAAACTCTATCAGCTGCTGAGAAAGAAAAACGAAACAGTGGTCCTACAATGGATATCTAGTCACTGTGGCATTAAAGGCAATGAGCTTGCTGACACACTTGCTAAGAAGGGGACAACGATTTTGCAATGCATGGACCGCCCGATGTCTTTCCACACAATGAAGGCCTTAATTAGGAGAGAATTCCAGACCTCATGGAGCAAGGAACTTAAAGCTCGAACAAAGGAGAAACAGTGGACAGTGTCACTCTCCGACATAGCCGACTGGCCAAGAATCGAAGCCATTGCTAAGTTTAGACTACGTACCGGACACGATTGCTTGACAAAACACCTTCACAAATTGGGAGTATTCACTCAAGGTAATACAGTTTTTCTCCTTGCTTAATACCTAATATTGGAGTGAAATTAAAGAGATGCGAATAGGATTAAGGAACAAAAAATCTATCAAAATAAAAAACATCAAAATTTTGAAACGATCACATTTCAATTGAAATCATCTAAACTCACTTTCACTTGCTTCTTGCATAAGGAAATTAAATTTCACAATTTCATGATTTACGTCAAAATGGGAATTACTCAAGATACTTGAACTACAAATAATTTCCCAGCACGTTTATTCGATTACAAAACATATTCGATTTAAGGCTTATTTTTTAATCAACTTGAGATATATTGCGCAAAAAACATAGAGATTATATTCTAACATTTTCGGCAACAATGGCGTCCAATTAATTTTAAATGTGTTTATTTATAAATTAAAAGAACGGAAAAGACACTGAAAACGTGTTGCATGTTCTAGACCTTAATTAAATTGTTAGGGGAAAGTTTGTTAATATAACATGTTACGTAACAAAATTTATGTTTACTACAATTCGAATTTTATTTGGGATTTCGTCAAGCCCAAGAAACCCTTAATAAAGGCTCACGGAACTAAAAAAATATGAAATAAAAAATGTCATTATTGTTTGCTATATTTTGGCTGTTTGCTTCAGAATATGCTTATCTAAACCCGACTGCATTCAAACAAATAATTAACTGAGCTAAATTGTCGAAGAAACATACTTAAAGGCTTATCTTAGACAAAGTTGATATATCCCATGGAACCATTAAATATTGAGATATATGAAACGATATCTGTCGTAAAGCCGATTTTGTAAACGAATTGGCTTGATTAAAAACAACCATTGATGGTTGTGAAAACTCAATTGGGTGACTGGTGGACATTAAACTTTATGCTAATTAAAGTAAGATGAGGCTGACAACTGACGCATGCAACTACAAAAGTGAATATGGGTGCACAATTTGTAATATTCCTGTTGTATAATCTATACTGACAGTCA